GGGGCTCGATGCGGGGCTCGATGCGGGGCTCGATGCGGGGCTCGATGCGGGGCTCGATCCCAGGACCCTAGGATCATGACCTGAGCCGAAGGCAGACGCTTAACGACTGAGCCACCCAGGCGCCCCTGACCTTATATTTCTTTAGAGTGAGCTTCTGAGTGACAAAGACTGTCTTTCTCAGCTTACCACACTCACAGCTTAACATAAAGCCTGATACATAACAATGGCTCGATAAATGTTACTGAATAAATTGGAAAATGGAAAAAAAATACAGCTTAAAGTAGAAAATCTGCTTACGAGTACTCAACTATAGTCACTAGATGGCATCACTTCCCCAAATTGGGAAGACATTTTGGCTCTTCCCAAAATGAATTTTATATACGTGGTTCTAACTCTCTATAGTAAGTGTGAGATTATGATAGCTTTCAACTCATTTGCACGTGGAGGTTGTTCTGGATCATTATTGGAGAAGATTAAGGCCAAACATATCAGCAGTAAGCTAGGCATTTATTTGCCTGATAACCTGTAGGATGTCTTTTGGTATATTATATTCTTCTAAAATCTGTCACACCATTTGGTCCACTAAAAGCATAAAATATGATGTTCTTACATACATAATTTTTCAGAGAAGCGTTCCGTATTGGTCATCATTATATCAATGAATTCTTTAAAATTCGCCTTTTTTGTTTCTAAAGGGAAAAGAACATTTTTTTTCATTATCTTCAAGTACTAAGTTATTAGGACAAATATTGAATTATGTAAAATAAATTCTCTATTTAGGGAGTTAATATAATTATAACCATCAGCTAATATCACTAAAAATATAAGGGTATAAGAGAAAAAGCAATTCAACTTACAGGGAGAAAGTAAATGCTGAAAATTGCCAGGAAAATTAATCAAAATCTTCCTAGTCACAAGTGTACAACATTTTTAATTTTAACTTACATGACCTTGACTTGGCCTTGCAACAATTCACTAAGATATGTAGGTGAAGAATTAGTATGTTATTTTACATATTTAGAAAAATACTTATACATGATAGATATCATGACTTTTTCCCAAGGTCACAAAAGGAAATACAAGATCAGAGATCAGAAGTAAGCTCTTTCAACTTCTGGTTTCTTCCACATCAGGCTACCATTCACATCGCTGTCTTTATTCCAGTACACTATTTAAACTATTAAACACTTTAATAGTCATTTTAGGGGCGCCTGGGTGGCTCAGTCGTTAAGTGTCTGCCTTC